ACACCCAAACATTAAAATATCTTTATGGACTTTCACACATAAGTTGGAAATAAGATTTTTACATAAGCTGAGGAAAACTTCAAAAAGTCCTTCGCACTATGATGACGGCAAAGTTGAAAAACCTTTGTTTTAGCACGAAACGACGCAAGAAAACCTTGATTCGCGCCTTCGGGCAATGTGACGTCTATGTAGTGCCAACCACAAAAAATGTGCACGTCAAAAAATAAAACTCATTTCTAATTTGAACTTTAACAGAAACGAAATAAAATCTTTTTGTCGCAGATATTATTGTTTATGACTTTCTACACATCATTGTCTTTTGATACAAAAGACTGATTGTGGCTACGGAAACCCCGTGAGGAGTTACCAAGCACGCCTTTGTACTTTGTAGTCTCTCGTGCGTTAGCTGAAAGCAGATTGTTGATTTTTTTCCTACATTTATTTACACGTCTTCCTACTCTCCTCTGGATAATGCTTTTGTTTAACTCTAAACTCTGAACACGGTGAAAGTTATATAAAATTAAATTGTTCACAAACACAGAGTACTTCTACGAACTGACCAAAACTGTAATAGGTAAGCACTTGAAACTTTTACATGGAGTCTTTGAAGTCAACTTACCTAAACTAAACCACTTAAAATATATATGTATATATAAAAGTTAATAACATTTATAAGTTTTTTTTTTTGATGGGTGTATATATAAGCACCAGTGAAGGGTGATAGGTGAGACTGAATAAGATATATATGAATTCATCAGGAATTAACCATGATAGTTTCCAGGGGGAACACCTGGTTGGGTATATTTAGCAATGGGATTCTCAGTCTCTATTAACCTTTCCCCCAAGATATATAAGTTCGCTAGCAGAACATTTTTTAAATAACCAATCAAAACACAAAAAAATATTTTGATCTTAGTTTTAATTTTTTTTTTAAATTGACAGTAAACTACGACGTTGCCATACTTCGTTATGAACGCTGACATTTTGTAATTCTTTGTTCTTAGACGAACGCTCTTAATTACCATATGCAACAGAGAGAACAAGATGCTAGACGTTGCCTTTTCGTTCTAATGCATGCGTGTGAATAACTAGAATTGTTCTTATAAAAAATATGTTTAATTGTGTGTCAATTAATTAAAAAAAAAGCCGACTAATCCACTGTTCGACATTAAAAATAGAATAGAAATAATCTTTACTTAAATAAACTTGTTTAAAAGTTCTTTTAAACAGTTATTTTTATGCTTCTACTGCCTAGTTCGGAATGTTCTAATCAGCTTAAAATTATCTGCAACAAACTTTATATTTAGCTACTCTATCCAATTCTTTTTATTTATATATAAGATGACTTTACATTTGTATACGTATTGAGACCATAATTGACATTAAGTTCTAATTATATGGATTATTCAGTTTAAAATAAACAAGTAAACATAGGTAGATCAGTCTCCACAAGCAGCACCCGTTCATGAGTATGACGTATAACCTAGACATCAACTATATTTTAGAAATCTCAACGACCTGGCCCCCTGTTTGGACCTTATAGTCAGTGTTGAGGTTTTATTTTACTTTTAAAAGTAGAATTCAATTAAATATTTTTTCTGTCAATTATTATTTTGTTAATACGGGACGTCATTTTAAAATATGAATATTATTGTACTAGGAAAAATTTTATATGTCTTTATTTTGTATTGTCTATTTTATTGTTCTATACAACGAACCCTTCACAATGAACATGACTTGCTTAACTACATCACGAGTACAATTTATATCAATACTAAAATATATAATTAAGCAATCCATTTATTACAAAATTCGATTTGTCATTTACAGTCAAATAAACGTTTTATCTATTTATTACATTTCTCTCTTTATTTTTATTATAGAAAAAAAAGAAAAATGCCGCTAATATATTTAGAGAGTAGGTAAAAGTAAAAAGTAGGTAAGTTTAGTAAAAACTGATATTCTATCATATAACTCATATGAGAGATTTAATATAATTCAAAATGATTCCTACACATAATTATTTTTTATTTCAATATCTATTTGACATTAGTTAACAAAGGTTTTGTGGCCTCTTGCCAAAGTGTTAAAACGTATAAACAAAAAACATTTTTTTTCTGCTCCTACATGTGTGAATACTTGTATATTCATTTCGGAATCAGGGATCTACCATGAAATGAAATTCCGAAATTTCGAACTTAATTTCGTGTTTTTGTTGATACCAAAATGGGCTCAGTAAATGAAGCTTAATATTTTGGTTCCCATAAATCTACCATAAAAGTCCAATGAAACGATATTTTAACATTTTTAAACAGTTTATATTGTGTAATTTTAACATCAAATTTGTATTTCTTCCGGTCCCGAAATTTCTGAAAACATTTTATGGTAGGCCTTCAATAAACCTTTCTATACGTCATTTCTTAAAACGTCATATAAAACTGTCATGTTTGTCAAAGTGACATTATCGTATAATACTATCATAATAAATTGATTGTGAATTTGTAGAAAAACTTTGTAAACTACATTACTACGTAATTTAGTAGGTAACTAAAAGTTATCTACCCCGCTCCCCTATCTAGTCTATCCGTTTCCGTATAAGATAAAATACCCAAATGAATTTGACCTCGAAACTTAAAAAAATTAAATGTATTGAAAGTAAAACTCACTGTGAATGTATAAAATTTAATTAATTCGTGATAAAATTTTATAAGATACAATTTTAAAAATTGTATTTAGAACACGTACTACGCGCGAAAGGTAAATGGTTTGCTTTTATATAAATTCGGAACAAACTTACACCTGTACTTTAAAGAACTTATTTACTTCCTTACATACCTATATTCCCTAAGAAAATTAAATAAATAACAATTTGTATAGTTAAGAAATGTAGTAAAGTAACAATCTTTAAACACATAAATAAATGTAACCTGTAAAACTGTTCCATTTAAATACGAAATAAATGTAATTTACTGTTTTTTTTTTTAATGAGTGAAAATAAAATTAAGACTACCTCTGCGCTATCGGTATATACTGGCCAGGGTGGAAGCAAGTCAGTTGGTCAGTAACCGATGGCATAGGTGAGGTTTCCATTCTATTTTCACTCATTAAAAAAACTTCTATATAGTCCTCTTTGAGAACCGTTGTGGTTAATTCCTAATGAATTTGCCATAATGGGATAGCTAACCTGACTCCATCCCATACTCAATATCCCGCCAGTATACCAATAGTGCAGGTGGGAGTTACCATTCTATTTTCATTCCATTGTCATCTGTAAAGTACCTATACTCCAATCATATACTATCAAATAACAGTGCTTGGGTATTTATTTGTTTAATTATTTATTTTTTGGAAAACATACAGCTGAATTACAGTCAATACATAATCAAATTTATATCTATGTTAAGCCATGAATCATTTTCAAATTTATTACAGTTAGGTAATGAAATTACAAGGTAGGGTGATGTGATGCCTTAACCCTCAAGTATGGCAATGCAAAAGGGTTATCATGAATGTAACAGTCTCATCTGTAATGTCTGTGGTATTTTTTTAATGGATGATAATGATAAATGATAGGTGAAGGTGAAAAGGCAGGTCAGTTAGCCCATCATGATAGTTTCCAGGGTGAACTGCATGGAGATCGACCTGATGGGGTATATTGATAGCAATAGGGACTAACCTCCCTTGACTAACAATTCCTCCCCCCCCCCCCTCGGTCCATGATATTAGACATAATGACAGTCAAAAAGTTTTAATCCCTTGCTATTAATCAAGAAGAAGGATCTGTTGAATAATAACTATCTAGAGTCATACTCTAATTATTTATGTCAGCAATTATTGCAAATATTTTAAATTCAGGAATGCCAGTCTAATTTCGAACTCAATAGGCACTCTTATTCGAAGCATAAATAATTAAAAGAAACTGCTTTCTGTGTACACTTTCAGAGTGATACCAATCTGATATCTATATATTAGGTTCTTCTGGACATTGATGGTGAAAAAAAGGTCATAACCCATTTCATTAGCCGTCATATCGGTCAGATATCTATTTACGAATATATTAAAATTCTGTTGTTCAATATTATTTTTTGGATAACAGACTTTTAACATAATCATTATTGGACCAATAAATAGATATTGTAACTAAAATATATTATCGATATAAATAGATATTGCTATATATATTATCTGTCCCTTTTTGAGTAATTTTTTTATTATTTTTAAAACTAGCAATTTTTATTTTTAAATTACTTTATTTAAATAAAATATGTTATTACTTCTAGTAATGGCTACAGAAGACTTCACCACATTGACGCATGTTTCTCCAGCACTCACCAATGAGAAGCTTAGCGAATCACTTACAGAATGGTTTGGGGAACCAATGGCCTTCACTCGCTGGGAGGTACTGCAGCTATTTATTATCTTGTTATATGCAAAGATATATTAAAAGAAATTTTTTGAGAGTTCTTTTTATAATCTAATCACTCTTAGTTCTCCATACTTTAATCACTTGAGAACTGAAGCCTGACAATGAGGATGCCAGAAGTAAATACAAGATAAGAACTAGAAGTCAATCTTGCTGGACTTCCTCCGTTGTAACCACATGGGATTATGATGTTTTCCTTTTCAGCCGATTTCAAAAAGGAGTTTCTTAATTCGCTTGTATTTTTTTATGTTTGTTACCTCGTAACTCCATCAATTGATTTGAAAAATTCTTTTTTTGTCAGAAAGGCTATATTTACACAGATCTGAAAGAAATTTCATCAAAATCGGTTCAGTAGTTTTGATATCAAATTGACTGTTCTGCCAGTATCAAAGTCAAGGTTTTTTTTTTGTAATAAAATCTTATTTATTTTTTTATTCTTTATTGTACACAAAAAATTACAAATATGTAATATATATTAAATAAAGATGTACAACAGGCGAGCTTAACTCTGTAAGAGTTCTCTTCCAGCAAACCCTGAGTGGAAAGGTGAGAATTAATTACAAGCAGGCAGTGTGCGTACAATAATAGGAGGAGACATTATAGTTGTTTCTATTAAGAAATAATAAATATGTTGACATATATACAAAGTAACTCATATAATTAAAATCAAAATACATACATATCTGTATACAATAATACATATACATATATACATAAACAATAAATATCTTAAATTATTTTCCCAAAATAATATATGAAAAAGAAGTAATCAAAATTATATTTTTGTTCAGTCTATCATATCAAATATGATTATCAAAAGCATTTTGTAATTCCTCTATAATCCACGAAATCAAAACTATGGTGTTATTTAATAAGCTGCCTAAGGAATTAAAGTCACTGAATGATTTAAATATCTTTAGAAGAAAATTGAAGTCATTACTGCTAGAAAGGTGTCGGTACTCAATTGACGAATTATAATTATAGTAAATTTGAATATATACCTATATTGTTTATGTTAAGAGATGACTAAGTGACTGTAATATTTGTTTTATGCTTAATTTAATTTATATTTTAGATAGATAGATACTCTTTATTGTTTCCTCCAAAAGATTACAATAGTAAACTTATTATAGATATAAACAATTACAAGAAATAATCACAATGAGAAAACAATGAGCGACCTTATCGCTAAGAGCGATCTCTTCCAGGCTACCTTTGGATGGAGAGGAGTAATTATAAACAGTTTTATGTACTGTATGAAATTATTGTATCTACTATAACATTCAAATACAAATTTTTGTTTATGAATAAAAAAAAATATATAATTCTAATTCTAGGATGAGTTTCAATTCAAAATAGATCATGTGCAATTAAAATTAAGGTCTCTCTTGAGAAATAATCACTTTTTTTTATGTCAGAACAGTAACAACTCCTAAATTAAATAAATTTTCAATTTCCAGTACTTGAGTGACACGGGTAAAGGCGATTCCTATCTGAGCGAACTTATCAAAATAAAGATTCACGGCACCACCCGAGCTGGCGCATCCAAATATGTACAAGTTATATTAAAAAATATACCCAAAAGTATTTCTCGAAGACTCACATATAGAAGTGACGAGTTTTTCAAAAACGAAATAAATTTCTATGTAAAAGTTTTGCCGGCGTTAATAAAGTTTCAATCGAGCAAATCTGTTACCGATCCCTTTGACAAGTACGCCAAATTATTTCTATCGTACAGTGATGGTGTTAACGACGTTATTTGTCTTGAAGATGCATCCTTGGAGAACTATGGGAGCGCTGTCAGACAAGAAGGGATAGATTACAACCATTGCAAGATCACTTTCAAGGTGTTAGCACAGTTCCATGCACTGTCCTTCGCAATGAAAGATCAACAACCGGAAGAGTTTGAGAAAATCCGAACGGAAGTCTTCGAGACGTACTACCATGACCGATTAAGGGGCTGGTACACGAAATTCTGGAACCGAATCAGTGGTATAGCCATAGATGCTGTTGAAAAGGAGTACCCTAATTCAATTTACGTGGAAAAAATTAAGAAGTTTGCCATTCCGGAGCGATACGATGACATGATCGAGGCGGCGACGAATACTCTTGAAACTGGTGTCATATCGCACGGAGACTCTTGGACTAACAACTTCTTGTACAAATATGTTAATAGCACTCCGGTAGATGCTAAAATAATTGACTTTCAGCTCTCGAGGTGTGCATCTCCTGTGTTGGACGTGACTTTCGTGATATACGCATGCACTACCCAGGATATGAGAGACAAATACTACGATGAATTGTTGAAGTATTATTACCAAGTGCTGGCGAAACAAATAAGGGAGTTGGGCAGTGATCCGGATAAACTGTACTCTTATGAAGTTTACATGGCCGAGATAAAGAAGTACTCATACTTTGGACTGGCGTTCAGTTTTGAATCCACTCCGTTTATTATATTGGCGCCTGAGGACGCCGTCAATATGGAAATGAAGGTAAAACTTGTGTATTTTAATAACGTTCCGACTAATAGATTTCTTGGGGGGAAAGGGATTGTTAGTAATGGGATGTAACAGTCCCATTGCCGGCAATATACCCTATTAGGTAGACCTCCACGCGGTCCCCTGGAAACCATTGTGGTTTAATGTGGAATTTATCACAATGGTCCAACTGATCTGACCTAATCTACAAATAATCTAACTGAGGGATAATAATCCCCTCACAGGTGCCCCACCTGTATATACCACAGCACGGCACCGGCGAAGTTATTATTTCATTTTTACCAACTAAAAAAAAATAGATTTCTTGTACAATTTGATTTTTGTCGGTAGACGAAAGTGTGTTAGATTTTTAGTATTTATTTAATAATCTAATCTTATCAATTGATTAGATACTTGAATACATAAGGCAATTACGTATCTAATCAAATTTGTAGAATATAATGCAAATACTTAAAATGTATGAGTGTCAGTCTAAAGCCTAAACAAAGTTTCAATGTAGTTTTAGAGGTGAGTAAATATATACAAAATATTTATAGAAGCCACATTTTCAGGAAAAATAGTTTTCAAAAAATACTTTTACTTACCGATTTTAAACTATGGTATCAGTGAGTAACATGGACTATATTTATAATTGGGGTTCTTCAAAAGGGGGGTAAAGAGGTTTCTTCAGGGTCGGCAACGCACGCGTAATGCCTCTGGTATTGCAGGTGTTCGTAGGCTACGGTAACCATTTACCATCAGGTGAGCCGTATACTTGTTTGCCACCTCAGTGGTATAAAAAAAATAAAATTTACAGGGTACAGAGAAATAACACCTGAGTCCTCAGGAATGCCAACGCATGGGGGGTATCATGGACGAAACAGTATACTCTGTTATGTCCATGGTACTGCTCATGTCTATAGGCGACGGTTACCACTTTCCATCAAGTGAGGTGTCAGCTTGTTTTGCCATTCTAAGTTGAATAAAAAAAATTAATATACTAATAAAAAAATCTGCAATTGTTTGTGACCTGGGCGTATTACTCGACTCAAAACTTACTTTTACGGAATATATTCATTCGATTTCTAATAAGGCATACAAAAATTTAGGCTTCATTCTTCGCGTGTCCAGACCATTTTCAGATATTGATTGTATAAAAACTCTTTATCTATCTTATGTAAGAAGCGTTTTAGAGTATTGCAGCATAATATGGAACCCAAACTAAATTATTTATAAGCAGACGTTAGAAAACATTCAGAAAAAATTCTTAAAACATCTAAATTATAAAACAAGAAGCACTAGTACTGATTATCATGAAATGTGTAAGAAGTACAATCTTATTCTCTCGAAGATAGGCGTTCTCTTCTTGATATGATGTTCTTGAGA